TCTCTCTCTCTCTCTCTCTCTCCCCGTCTCTCTCTCCCCCCCGTCTCTCCCTCCCCGTCTGTCTGTATGACTGCTCTCTCTGACCCTCTCATTCACATTTAGTTGCATGTCAGAGAGCAGGTGGGGTAAATATCAAGGAGTGCCAGACCAGCAAATATTTAATAGATTGTTCAAGATGATCTCACCCTGCAGATTACAGTGTGAGAAACATTTTTTTAGGCCGAAGGCCTGAAAACTTTAGTTTTTAATGCCCTTGAACGCTTTGTTTAGGAGTTACTTAATGATATAGATTAAAAAATGCTACCGAGTCTTGCGAGTTGCATTTGACAAATATTTAATTTTGTTCCACAGCGCCGTCTAGTGGAGTTACAACCAAATTAACAGCACATAAACCTTCTTGGTGAAAAAACATGTGCCAACTTTCATGGCGATTGGTCACGGAAATGGTGTTACATATTTTATGACTTGTCTCAAGACTAATAATTATCATTAACAGAACTTTACTGAATCAACATAAAATCTGAACATTCAGATCTGAAGTGACAGAAATATTAAATTCACTGACAATAATTCATTTCATGTGTTACACACATAAATCTGATGCTGATGTCTGCTCCTCAATCTCTTTAATTGACTGGAAGCAAAAGAAACTTCTGAACATAATTTTTGTAATTACTGTGTATACTTGTGTGGTTGGGGCTCTCATTACAATGGGTCAGTCTTTTTTTACCCATCATTAATGAGCACTGAATTCTATCGGCCACTGTCTAATAATCTGTTTGCTACAACTATTCTATGTGTTTCTTAATTTCATGCAATTAATATAATGTTTTATAATTGATATCGATCTGTTGCATTGAAGTTGAGATTTAGCATCAGAAAATAAGATTTAGATTGAATGATGGCAAAGCCATTGGAAGCTGTTAATCTGTTGAATCTAAGAATATTAGTAATGTCAATAAAAACCTCTTCTGTGTTAACTTTCACAGAATTACATCAATATTTATGTTATTATTAAGCAACATGTGTTTAATTTTGCTAGGTGTTGTGGAATGCATGGCTGCTGGGCTGATAATGGTGGCACATCGTTCAGGGGGACCGCGAATGGATATAGTGGAGGAAGCAGAGGGCAGCCGGAATGGATTTCTGGCCGAGAGTGAAATGGAATATGCTCAAACTATTGCTGCAATATTGCAACTATCTGCATCATCTCGAGAAAATATATGTACTGCTGCAAGGTACTTATTCCTTAGACTATTTGTAATCTAAATACCGTATTTGCCCAAATACAAGCATTATTTATTTTCACTTTTGTGTGCCACTAAATTTGTGTACAACAGACTAAATTTATCCACGATAGATGTTAATGAATATTATTTAATGTTAATTATTTTATTTTCTGTATTCAAAATTTCAGAGGAATAAGATCTATATGAATTTAATGATTCTCGTTTGTAAATTGCTTAAGGACTTCAAAGACTTTTCGTAGCTTCTCCCCACACAATTGAAGGGGTCAGGAGAAGATACAATGAACGCTCATTTCATAAATCAAAATCAAAAGTCTTAGAATGTCTCCTAAAAACAACATTATGATAGAAATGCTGAATAAACATACTCGTAGAACTACAGAGTGGGTGTGCGCACTTGCATGTGTGTTTTTTACACCTGGACCCTTTGTATATTGGCCCCATTTCAAAATGCAATCAATATGAATGCTCAGATATTTTGTAAGAGAAAACCTTTTGTATCTCAGAACAATTACAGTGTTTATCATTGCAAGTACATATCTTCAGGCTAATTGATTCGGAATACTGTCCAAATAACTTCCATACACTCCTTGTAATATTAAAGCTAAGGTAGTGTTTATGCAGCCTTTTTACTATCAAATTTAGATTTAATTCAGATTTTTGTAAAACCTTAGTCCATCAGTCTTAGCTATGATGCAAGTGTCCACAGCAAAATATATCAAATCTCCTTTTGGCAAGGTTTGAAATATAATAATATATTATAATTTTCTGTAGTAAAAGTCGATTCAGATATGTATTTTTACACTGCCTTTCTCTGTCAGGAAACTTGAACACTGTAACACTGGTCATGTGTACAAATCAGCAATGACTTGTATGATAATTGTAATAATGCATTGTTTTTTTGTTTTGTTTTTATTACTTTTTTTATTATTATATTTTTTTATTGTTTAGAGATACATGAAATGATATCCTTTTTATGATATTAATGATGCTGTGTCTCAATAAGCAACATTTAAATAAATTGGGATGCAAATGTTTCACATTTCTTTGCTTTATAATTAGTTCTGAAGATGTCAAAATTGGAATGTTGGATTATTAACTCCCTCGAGTTGATACTTGTTGCTCCCTACATATGTTCATAATTTTCATTTCACGTTTTCTAAAAACAACATGCATTTGCTTTAAAATTGTGTATAATATGTTTTTCATTTATGCTTTTTACAGAGCATCGGTGGACCGTTTTTCTGTGGCAGAATTCGAAACTGGCTTCTTAAGGACGATGCAACCTCTCTTATCAAATTCATAATCTCAAATAAAGCAAGAATTTGTGTGGGGAAAAAAAGAAATTCTTGGCTCTGTTTTCTAACCAAGTTCCCAGTAAATACCAATTTCCCATGTTTCCTGATCAGTGGCATGGTGTGACATTTTCCCAGAATCATGAAGATTTGCTGTATCAAGCCTATCCTTCTGTTGTGAAGGAATGTGGGTGTAGAAGTAGAGTATCAAATTTGTTTGGAAGGTTTTCGGCTTGGGACCTATTGACATTACTTAAATGACTTTTTGATATTGTGCGTATACTTTTCCTCTTAATTTTCTTAGATTGCACCTTGATATTAATTGAAGATCTAATTTGGAAGAAAAGATTTCATTAAGAAAAAATCTTTGATGGGTGAGAAAAAGGGTTTAGGTCATTTCTCAGGAGAACAAAAAAACTGTTTAACATTGCGAAATGGTGAATAAACAAAACTCACGCTTCAATTCTGCACCTTATTTCTGACCGTATTAAAGGAGAAATTAAGGAAAATTATTTGAATTGAATTGATGCTGTATTTTACATGGCGAGGCTCAGGCCATCAGACCTGCTCTTCCGTCTGACCACGCAACTTTCGCTATGCTCCTTTCACCAAGTAGCAGAGTAAAGAGGCATTTCTTGGGCGACAAAAAAGGCTGTTTAAATTTAGCTCAGAGGCGTCATTTAGGCTTGAGGATCTTTTACATGCAAGTAAATCTACTTACATGGGACAGCTGGCTTTATATCCCCTCCAAAAGAAGGTTTATGAAGGATTTTTTTGCCATTTCAAATCCACCGCTTTGATCATGTTTGAAACCGCCAACTTGGGTATAACAGCCCGATATGCTAACCATTAAACCATCACTGTCGCTGATTTATATTAACCTGTGAAAATATTAAATGACTTGTAATGTTCATATCAACAAAGTTGTGTGTGCACAACTGACATACTATTATATTCACTAAGGAAAGATTAGTAAATAATCTTATTTTTAAGGAAAACACTGTATTAGAGCTACTTTTAAGATGGATATTGTAGACACATCTTTTGTTTCATCTGATTTTCAACAAATTCTTCTATGTCTGGCAGGGTGTCAACTGCAATGCTACTGACTTTCAACTTTCTGTAAAAGTTGTGAAACTCAGGTCTGATAAGTGGTAGCAGGCTAAGCAGGTCTTTCTTCTTTTCTTTTGAGATAGAAAGATGGTCAGTGTGACAACGTTTAGGTTTTTTAAGTGTCATTTTCGTCCAAGCTGCTCTTGAATAAAATCTCTCCTGGGTTTCTGGTATTCATGACTCCTTTCTTTCACAAGAAATTTCTTCTTTTTCCCCCACTGTTCGAACTTCAGTAAAACCCCTCTTTTACACTTTTCAGGGGACCGATGAAAAAAATGTAAAGTGCAGGAAAGTGTAAAATACAGGAAAGTTGAAAAACGATAGGCTAGGCGAGGAGAAGCATGTGCCGGAATCGGCGATTTTCGTCAGAAAATCTCCAATTGACGTGCCCTGGTAATGACAAAGTGGATAAATCATATTCCTATACATAGTAAATTACTTCCTCAAGCACGTGATGTAGCCTGAATCCCTGTTTTATGGGCCCTTGAAAGAGTAAAATTGATTGATGACGTTTTTTCAACGCGAACGTCTAAACCGCCTGCCGATTTTCTCCAAAATTGATATTTCTCGATTGATCTGAACGAACGCGAGACTTTTGTGAGTTTGTTACATATATATGTAGTAATTTGAAACCTATTGAAACAGGATTTATCCACTTTTTCAGTATCCGTATGAGTTTTTCTGTGGAAAAATCGCTGTTTTTTGCCGCAGCATTACATAACTTTCTGAGCACTAGGTATAAAACTTACGTATATGAGAAAGTAAGGAATAAAATAAATTTTAAATAAAGACATAAAGGACGGGAAGCACTCTTCATATCAAGTTGTAAATTGCGGGAAGATAATGCATTGTAAATATAGGCTTTTCAACGGGACCAACGAAAAATTACGTAAAATGCGGGAACGTAAAAATGGGGTTTTACTATAGTTGGAACAAGCCATAAGAAATTGAAATAGGATATTCAGTTGTTGTTTTTTTTTCTTTTTCTTTTCCAGTTTTTAATTAAAATCAGAATTGTGCCATTTTTATAAACATCCAAATTGTCAAAGAAGAAATTGAAGCCATTTTTTAGAAAATTTTGAAAATGTTGATCGGACCAGCTTAATTGTGGAAGTATTTATTTTTGAGAAAATCCTGTTTGGTTTAGGCACTAGTATTGTTCATGGGTGGAAGTTATATATATACTTTTTGAAAACAATCACTGTACACATACATACATACATGTGAGTGCACATGATGTGACAGTACATGTGGATGCAGTTTTTGTTGTACCCACCTTCACGCATAGCGACATGAATTTACTCTAGCCAGTGTGAACCGACAACCTGGTGTAAAGTTTGGGACCTTAAGGCCCACAAAGTGGGCGGGTCCAGGTAAAAGATAGTATTTTTAGGTATATTTTTATTATTTATGGTGCTAACATTACTTGTGTTTGCTATAGACTTTTTTTTTATAAAACAGGTGGAAGTTTTGCTGGCAGGCCCGCACTAATTTTGTTATGCTACTGACTGCTGGCTATATATGAAAATAGCACTCACGCAGGCGCGTGCGAATTGGTGGCTGTTGCAGCACCTTAACACCCCATGATGGTATTAAAAACATGCCAGAATGGCATACGTCGATGGGCAGCCTGTAGCCAGGACTGGATTTAAGTATTGTAGGGCCCCCAAACACAAAAGGCCCCCCCTCCCCCCTGTCCCCGTTCCTCCCACTCCATTTAAGTTTGTCCCAGGGGCCTTCAACTCAATATAAGTGTGGAACATTTGGGGGTTTGTGTAAACAATTTACACTTTCAGTTGCAAATAATGAAATAACATATAGTTTATATTAGACTTTTTAACATTTATCAAATATTCAAAATGAATAACTTTGAAATTTTAATACATAATTATGCATATTTTCCGGATGCAGGGCACCTAATGGATGGGGACTCCCAAGCAACTATTTATTTTGTTTGTAAGTAAATTCGACCCTGCCGGTTGCCTTATTTATTATTTACCACGGGTGCACAAATATCCCTTTATCCATGTGTACATACAATATTTTTTTGTTTCTGTTAAGACTAATTTAAATTTTGAGAAATTCCAGCACATCTTTACCATTCAAGGCATACATTGGATAATGTCATATTGCTTCTGAGAATGACCTATCTTAGTGGATCTTGCATTGGGTAGGCCTACTTATTATGATCACCATAGTGACTTAGAGGATAAAGATATATTTCTCAAATGGAAGATATTGAACATATTCTGGATGAAATACTAGAAGAAGCTGAGAAAGCCGTGAAAACAATACTTACCATGAAAAGTAAAGACAGGCATGAGAGAGAATACAGGTGTAAATGTTGGAAAGTAAAAAAAGAGATACTTCTGACTGAAAAGTTTTGCTGGCGTAGTTTTAGAACTCATGAATATGCTAATGATGGAAATATGCTAAGATCAAATGTAATTTCTTCATGTTAAATATTTTATGTTGTTCCATTAGTGTGTGTCTTACCGAAGTTTACGTAACCAATTTTGTTTTATTCATTCATTATTAAAAAGTAGTTGGTGTAGGTACGTAATCTGATTTATGGGCCTACATAGTTTCATGCCCGACTGGAAATACATTGGCGGCTTGGCCACGCCTGTGTTATAGTGACAATGGAATGAATTTGAGCCTCTTTCTGAATTGTTATTAGTAGTTGTTTTAATTGCACCCATACAATTGATAAAGTGTTAATCACCCATTTTTATTGTACTTAATGAGTAAACGAAAAACAAAGATAATAGCGTTGCAACGTGAAGAAGTGAAACAGACCGTGACAGTGTGGGCCAGGAGCGTATAACACGAGTCGGAGTCCATGATGACTGACATGAACGATTGTTAAGGAAACCCGCGGACGCGAGAGTGTTTTCGTTTTCTTTTTTTCCTTTCAATTTATAGAAACCCGCCCCTCTCACGCTGCGGTGGTGTGGCGACCGCGGAAGGGATGGTAAATGAAAGGAAGGAGCGGCGGCGATGGTGTAACGGTTAGCGTACTGGACTGTTGTACCCAAGTTGGCGGGTTCAAACCCGATCGAAGCCGTGGATTTTTAAGGGCGAAAAAACCTTCGTACGCCTTCCTTCGGAGGGGAAGTAAAGCCGGCTGTGCCATGTTCGTAGATTTACTTGCATGTAAAAGATCCTGAAGCCTAAATGACGCCTCTGAGCTAAATTCAAATCGCCTGTTTCTCGCCCAAGAAATATCTCCTTCCTCTGCTAGTTGGTGAAAGGAGCGTAGCGAAATTTGCGTGGTCAGACGGAAGAGCGGCGCCCGTGGCGGCCCGAGTCTCGCCACGTCAAATAAGGCAAATTCAATTCAATTCAATTCACTTTCAGCCCTGTGTAACAATGGAGCGCGCGGCCGAGCTGCCGCTTGGGTGGGGGTGGGGGGTGCTTCCAAAAGCCGCGCAAATTCAGTCATACACGCTCCCTGCGTTTTCACCGACAATTGTTATCTGTAAGTGAATTTTCGAAAGTTACGAAAGTTTAACACTTTGTTGGCGAATTCTTACAACAATAGTATCAATATATCAACTACAATATTAAGAGCTAGAGGTGCTACAACAGCACTACTTACTTACATAATTTCAAATAGTTACGTAATATTGAAATGCATAATTGTTTTTAGTAACGCAGAAATTGTACTGCATTTATTTCTTCAGCCAAGATTAGTCCTATCTCTTAGAAATGAAACAAACGTGAATAAATTTAACTATTGCAGTACCTGCAGCGCATTATACAGAAAAGAAAGAATGATATTTCTCACATGCCTTGATTACGTGGGAGGCGGCTAACAATTTCTGCGATCAGAGAGCAAAACTTCTTAAATAAAAGAAATATATGTTAGTTCTACGTTAAAAATATATTACCTTTCTTAAATGTTACTTTTCGTAAGAATTTCATCGATTTCATACGATCATCACGACCGGCAACCGTGACAACGATGTTTTTTTGTTTGCTTGGCCTCGTTAGGGGGTCTCTTAAAACAGAAGTTTCTTGTTGGGTGTATTTTTTACTCCTTTCCCCGTTCAAGGACGGGAATTGGGAGTTTGGGTGTTAAGCGGGCGGGTTATTTTCTTAGGGTTTTTGTACGATGGGGGGGGGGGGTAAGGAAGGAAGAAGGATGTTAGGACGGGAGGGATATAAGGAACAGGGAGCTTGTGCTGTTGCAGTGTTTTTTCGTTCTAAATGTCCGTTAGTCATGTCTGTGGCTTGTTAGCATGATCAAGTTTGCCCTCTGGCGTAAGTTATTAGAGAAGGGATATCTAGGGGGAATTTTTTACGTGTGTGCCAGGGTGCGGGGATTTTTTAGAATATGGTGGTGGGTTAGGGTTACGAAATTTAGGGTTGTTGATGTAGTGCTGAATTTGAGATCTGAAGGACTTTTACAGGCGATGATGTGGTTGGACCGAATGTCATTATAGCGTGTTAAGGGAGGAGGGTCGAAAGATCAGTCAAACAATTTTCAATGGTTGTGAGTTTTTTGCGG